CACTGTGATCTGAGAAGATGCTTGATATGATTTCAATCTTCTTTAACTTTTGTTCTCAAGTGGGTTTTTTTTAGACAGTATATAATTGGGTCATGTTATTGTATCCATTAAGCTACCCTAGGCCTTTTGAGTGGAGCATTTAATGCATTAATATTTAAGGTTATTATTGATAGGTACTTATTTATTCCCATTTTATGCCTATGTTTCACTCTCTATTTCTTCTCATGTTTCTTAATTGTTTTTTTTTTTCTTTTTGGCTCTCTGATTGATTTCTTTGTACTCTGTCTTCTAATTCACTAATTCAATCCTTGGCTTCCCCTAATCTGCTTTGTATCCCTTCCATTTTGTTCTTTATTTGTGCTATGTCATTCTTAATAGTTACTATATCTTCTTTCATGCTGTTCTTTCATTACAGCAGTCACTTGAGCATTTCTTATAGTACTGATCTGGTGGTGATAAACTCCTTTAGCCTTTTTCTGTCTGAAAAGCTCTTTATTTCCCCATCTATACTGAATGATAGCCTTGCTGGATATAGTAATCTTTTTTTTCAGATCCTTGCTTTTCATTACCTTGAGTACTTCATGCCATACCCTTCTGGCTTGTAGAGCTTCTGATGAGAAATTAGCTGACAGCCTTATGTAAACTCCTATGTAGGTAACAAATTGCTTTTCTCTTATTGCCTTTGAGATTCTCTCTGTCTTTAATCTTTGGAATTATGATGTGTCTGTGCGTGGGCCTGTTTGGGATCTTCTTACTTGGGACTCTCTGTGCCTTAGGAACTTGAGACGTTTTCCTTCACCAGGACAGGTAAGTTTTCTGCCATTATTTCTTCAAACAGGTTCTCTATCCCTTGCAAACATTCTTTTCCTTCTGGCACACCTGCTATTTGAATATTGTTACATTCACGTTGTCCCACAGCTCCTTAAGCTATCCTCATGTTTCTTAATTGTTTTTTTTTTCTTTTTGGCTCTCTGATTGATTTCTTTGTACCCTGTCTTCTAATTCACTAATTCAATCCTTGGCTTCCCCTAATCTGCTTTGTATCCCTTCCATTTTGTTCTTTATTTGTGCTATGTCATTCTTAATAGTTACTATATCTTCTTTCATGCTGTTGAGCATGTTTACCATGATTACTCTGAACTCTATATCTGATAAATTTCTTATCTACATTTCATTTAGGTCTTCTTCTGGAGAATTCTCCTGTTTTCATTTAAGGGTTTTTTCTTGTCTACTCATTTCGGCTGTCTGTTTGGCTTTGTGACTGTGTATTAGGTAGATGTGCTACACTTCCCAATCTCTAGTGCAGGACAGTGTCAAACGCTGTTTCTGACTAATTATATAAGGTAAAGACTCAAAGCCTCCAGAGATCCACCTCTGCCTGAAAACAGATTGCATCCAGTCTTGAGTAGCATAAGGCAATCTTACAAAGGTAGGGCGAGAGGTGTTCCAGCCGGGTGTGGCCAATTGCATCTGCCTGGATACTAATTGTTATTCTCAGTTTCTTAATGGGCCTCTGAAACACCACAAGGTGTGGCAAGGGGTTTCCCAATAAGGTGGGGCAACTGTCTTCTCCCACAGTCAAAAATTGCCCGGATAGCCAAGGTCTGCCTGAGAAAGATGTCTTCAGCAGCATGAGGGAAAAACTCAGCACAGGAAACCGAGGTATCTGCCCTCCAAGCTCTAACCCCAGAGCCCCAATCTTGGCTTCTGCTCACAGCTACTGTCCACTCTGCCCTCCCTCTGCCGAAGCCCAACATTAGTAGCTGCACACAAAATTTGTGGGTTGGCCCTTTAGGAGTCTGCCTGCATTTCAAGTCATTTCTCCCTGGCAAATAGCAATCCTGCTGGTTTTCACAGCTCACCTTTCTCAGGTCTGGTGCTCTCTCCTGGGGACACCAGCTTAGGGTTTAGATGCCAGAGTTCTCAGTATCAACCCCCGACAGCTGAAAATACACTGAGTGGCCAGATTATGACCACCCCATCAGTACTTCGTTGGGCCACCTTTTGCCTTCAATACTGCGGCGATTCTTCTTGGCATTGACTCCACAAGATGTTGAAAGGTGATGTGAGGAATCTGACACCATGCCTGATAAATAGCACTGTCCAGTTCTGTGAGATTTGATGGTTGTGGAACCAGCTGCCTGATGGCTCTTTTAACTTCGTCCCACAAATGCTCAACTGGATTGAGATCTGGTGATTGTAGGGGCCACCTAAGCAAGGTAAAGTCTCCCTCATGTTCTTGAAAGCACTCCTGAAACAATAGGAGCACTGTGGCATGGCTCATTGTCTTGTTGGAAGAAGCCATCTTCATTGGGATATGCCATCAACATGATAGGATGAACTTGATCAGCAAGGATACTTAGGTATGTTATGCTATTCAGACGTTGTTCCAAATGAATTAAAGGGCCCAAATCATGCCAGGAACACATGCACCAAACCATAACACTGCCCCCACCAGCTTGAAGGGTTGTACTCATGCATGTGGGGTGCATGCTTTCATGCTGTTTCCGCCAAATTCTCACTCTGCCATCTGCATGATGCAACTGGAAACGTGATTCATTGGACCACATGACATTTTTCCAATGCTCGACTGTCCAATCCTTGTGTTCCTGTGCGAATTGGACACGTTTTATCTTGGTAACTGCAGACAGCAAAGGTGTTCGAACAGGCCTTCGGCTTCCATATCCCATACGATGCAGTGTACGGCTAATTTGCCTAAAAAGCTCAGGTGGTCATAATAATCTGGCCACTCAGTGTATATCTCCAGAACTTCAGCTGTTGTCTGTGGGAACCCGACAAGCCCTTCCATTGCTCTACACTTCCTACCAGTCTCTACGTAGTCTCCACTTTCCATCCTTGGGATTAGAGTTCTCTCCAGCCAGTCTTTAGTTGATTATTCAGTATTGTATTTTTGCACTTCAGTTTTAATTCCAGTTTGGTCTTGGAAGCATGTCTGTGTAGCATCCACTTACTCTGCCACCATTTTTAATCTCTCTTAAAACAAATTCTTAGTATTAAGTCCTGTTATGTTTAAAATGGCTACTGTGCTTCCCTTTGCTACAACTGAAGCTGATCCACACACCCAAGATATTTAATGAGTTATAAAGGAAACAATGATTATTTTCAATGATTTCTGACCCACTATACTTCACCTACTTTAAAACCTATTTAGCCCTAGCTGGTTTGGCTCAGTGGACAGAGCATTGGCCTGTGGACTGAAGGGTCCCTGGTTTGATTCCTGTCAAGGGCACATGCCCGGGTTGCATGCTCGATCCCCAATAGGGTGAGTGCAGGAGGCAGCCAATCAATGATTATCTCTCATCATTGATGTTTCTACCTCTCTCTCCCCCTCCCTTCCTCTCTGAAATCAATAAAATAAAAAATTTTTTAAAGTAACGAAATTTTTTTCCCATCACCATTTATTCACTCTAGGCCCTCTTCCACCTCCTCAACCACCACACTGTTGTCTGTGTCCATGAGTGCTTTCTCTTTTTTTTTCTTCTTTCCCCTCCCCACCCCCACAGCCCCACACCTCAATCACTTCACCTCTTCAACTCACTGCCTAACTTTTTTTATACATTTATGAATATCCATGGAAATTAGATCTATTCTGAACACAAGTTAAATGTCATGAGGTCTATTCATAAACTGGATTCTATATCTTTGGACAGTCTACTGCATAATAAAGCATTCTAAAACTTCAAGCTAATCTCAATAAAAAAATACTCCAAATTCCTCATCAAATGTATAATAAACTGTTTCAGAAGAATGGGCCTTACAGTTAAATCCTTAATCCAAAAAAATCAGAGACTTCAGTACACTGTTTTTTCCTGGTAGTTGCTTTGCAGTTTACAGTAATGTATTACAGAATTGTTTTCTTACTTGAACTAGTACAAAGAAGTTTATAGAAATGCAAAACCAAGTTAAAAGAAATATGTAAAATGGGTGTTTTCACATAGATGCAACAAACAAATAAAGCAAACCTCAAGCCACATTCATTTTTATATTAAGATGTGATTAGTATAGTTCCACATTTCTCAATATATACTATATATATATACATACATATATGTGCACACACACGATACATAATGTGCTACCATTGAAAATGTTGATTAATTCACTCAACAGATGTTAACTGAACATTATTCTATAGGTTCAATAGGGAAAATGACTAACATAGGTTAAAGCTCATTAGGTAAAGGGTTATAACTGTAACGAAATAAGATGATAGGGCACTGTAGAAATATATGACAAAGAGCATTAATAAAAAAAATTAGAAAAAATAAACTAAACAGACTAAAAAAATTAGTTCAGGACTAAAATAAATTCGATCAAAAAAGAAATTTCCATTTTGTAGACTAGCAGTGGTCGCCAACCCTTGGTCTGCGGAACACTAGTGGTCTGTGAGTCCGAAAGGTTGACAAATGCTGGTTTAAGGAAACCTTTGGAGCAGCGGTTGTCAACTGGTGGTCCGCGGACCACTGGTGGTCCATGAGGTCCAAAAGGTTAGCGACTACTGGACTAAAGAAACTTCCATTTTGGAGGGAAATAAAGTTATCAATTAAGTAGTTAGAATAAATGACCATGGAGTCCATTTTCATCCTTCAAAACCCATAATGCTATAATTTCTTTAATGTATCATGTGTGCCAATATGAGTATTTGTATACATGTGTAAAACATACCTGTAAAAACATGAAAAACAACTAATAAGGGCATTGCTCTTGAAGAAAAACAGGGGTAAGACAGGAAACATTGTAGGGACTTTACTTATACACACTTCATACTAAATATCAAAAAGTTTTCATTTTTAATCACGTGAACATATTATCTATTCAAACATGGAGAAATAAATGTAGATCATATATAGCACAAGTGTTATCAGAAAATGCAAGGGCAATATAAAATAGAAAGCTATCTGAACTTTGAGGTAAAAGTTCATTAAGCACATACACTGACTATCATGAAGAAACTAAGAAGACAAAATAGAAGTGGTTACCTTCCTGTCACGGGTTTTAGGGCTACCAGCAGTGTTTTGCTTAAGGAAGCCAGCAGTTGTTGACCAGCGTGTGGGGTTTTTTCGTGAAGGCTCTTCAGAGGAAAAATTACTATCACTGACAGAAGCTGAGAGGCCAGTTAAAGCTGGGTCACTGCTTCGTCGGACATGAAGAGGCATATCTACAAATACAAAAAAGCATATTTTTAAAAAGGGTAACTCATGACAGAAAACTACATGTTAGGATAAAAGTACTTAAATCCCAAATATTAAAGAGCAAAATAACTATTTAAGATGGATCAGTATTCTAGACAGAAATTCCATTAGTTCCCTTAAAACAATTTATTGAAAAAGAAATGTGGTATGAGGAAAGACCTGTTCTGAAGTAAAATTGTCTGGGCTTGAATTTGTGTTTCACCACTTGTGTAGTTCTGGGCAAGTTGTTTATATAGTCTCTGTATCTAGTGCATTCATAGGCAAAATACCAAAACAACAGTATTTCTTTCTGTGAGGACTAAATGATATAAAATGCTTAAAACACTGCCAGATACACAGCGTATACTCGGCAGAGAGTAATAATGACCATTACTGTCATTATTATCCTAATATTTCTAAATAAAATATATATTCTAAAAATAAAGTATAAATAATAAATCTAAGCCATGAAACAAATTTCATGCAAAGTTAAATCATATCTACTGGATTAAAAATACAAAATCTAAACAGTGCTTATCTAGACTATTAAAGAATTCTGTTCAATAAATATTTATTTTGTTCAATAAATTATTGTCAGAAAATTAATCATATTTCATGTCCTTAAGATGAAAAAACATTAAAAGTAATATGCTAATAAGGTGGTAGTATCTGGCATATACACATAAAAAATGACATAAAAGACAGTATTTTAATAACTGTATTTGTATAAGAGTGGAGTTTGCAAATGCTGTAACAAAATCAATTAAGACACCCAAGTTAACATTTCTTATCAGTAGCATTAAGAACATTTTAGCAGATATAATCACTGTTACATAGAGAAGAAACGAAGAGAAAAATGAAAGCACGTGAGTCTATGATATTGAGAATCAGAACCAAAAGTCCTACTCATCAACTGAGCAAAATCACTTAAAAACAAGGCAAAAAAATTAGCTTGATATATGCTAAATATGTTTATAAAAACCGGGATGCAGGTTAAATATTTATAAAAAGTCTCTAAGAAAACACCTTTAACAGTTTTGTAAACTCATCATTTACACTATATAAGAAACATTTTTAGAACACTAATCCTTGAGGATGCTAAATTAAAGACAACTAATTACAGGCACTACAGGTTATATTGCACTGCTATGAATATAGGGGTGCATATATTCTTTCTGATGGGTGTTTCTGAATTCATGGGATATATTCCTAGAAGTGGAATCACTGGGTCAAATGGTAGTTCCAGTTTTAGTTTTTTGAGGAAACTCCAAAATGTTTTCCTCGTGGGTGCACCAGTCTGCATTCCCAAATGCAGTGTATGAGAGTTCCCTTTTCTCCACATCCTCACCAGGATTGGCATTTGTTGATTTGTTGATGAAGCCATTCTGACAGGTGTGAGGTAGTACCTCATTGGTCTTTTGATTTAGATCTCTCAGATGATTAGTGGCTTTAAGCATTGTTTCATATGCCTTTTGGCCTTCTGTATGTCCATTGTGGAGAAGTGTCTATTTCGGTCTTTTGCTTGTTTTTTAATTGGTTTGTCTTCCTTTTGTTAAGTTGTATGAGCTCCCTGTAAAATTTGTATATCAGATGTATTATTGGCAAATATGCTCTCCCATGCTGTGGGCTCTCTTGTTATTTTATTGATGGTTTATTTTGCTGTGCAGAAGCTTTTTATTTTGATGTAGTCCCACTTGTTGATTTTCTCCTTAGTTTCCATTGTCGTAAGAAATGTATCTGTAAAGAAAATGCTACAAGAGACGCCTGAGATTTTGCTACCAATGGATTATTCTAAGATCTTTATGGTTTCACATCTTACATTAAAGTCCTTTATCCATTTTTAGTTTGTGTATGGTGTAAGTTCGTGGTCTAATTTCATTTTTTGCACATATCTGTCCAATTTTCCCAGCACCATTTATTAAAGAGACTATCTTGACCCCATTGTATGCTCTGGCCTCCTTTGTCAAATATTAATTGGGCATAATGTCTTGGGTCTGTTTCTGGGTTCTATGTTCTGTTCCATTGGTCTATATGTCTGTTTGTGTGCCAGTACCAGGCTATTTTGAGTATAGTGGCATTGTAATCTAACTTAATATCTGACATTATTATCCCTCCAAATTTTTTCTTCTTTCTCAAGATTTCTGTGGCTATTCAGGGTCTTTTTCAATTCCATATATATTTTTGGAATATCTGTTCTAGGTTTATGAAATAATCCATTGGTGTTTTGATAGGGATTGCATTGAATCTATAGATTGCTTTTGGTAGTATGGCCATTTTAATGATGCTGATTCTACCAATCTATGAACACGGTACATTCCTCCACTTACGTATGTCTTCCTCTCTTCCTCTATCTCTTTTAACAATGTCCTGTAGTTTTCCATGTGCAAGTCTTTTACCTGCTTGGTTAAGTTTATTCCTACGTATATAAATTTTTATGTTTCAATGGTAAATGGGGTTGTTTGGTTTCCCTTTCTGAGTGTTCATTATTGGTGTATAAAAATGCCATAGATTTCTGGATGTTAATTTTATAACCTGCTATGTTGCTGAATTCAGTTATTAAATCTAGTAGTTTTTTATGGAGTCTTTAGGGTTTTATATGTACAGAATCATGTCAACTGCAAATAGTGAATTTTACTTCCTCCTTTATAATTTGGATACCTTTTATTTCTTCTTCTTGACTGATACTACAGCTAACACTTCTGGTACTATGTTGAACAGGAGTGGTGAAAGGGAGCATCCCTGTCTTGTTCCAGTTCTTATAAGAAATGGTTTAACTTTTGTCCATTGAGTATGATGTTAGCTGTAGGTCATTCATATAACGCTTTTATTATGTTGAGAAATGATCCCTCTATTCCCACTAGGTTGAGAGTTTTCAGACTACTGGGTCAGTGCTCAATCACTACCCAAATTATAAAATCAGTTCCATTATTTGACAAATTTTATTTTTATCTACAAGCAGATAAAAGTATTAGTCTAAATTTTATAAAAGGGATGAATTTTACTGTTTTCAAAGTAAAATTATATATACACTAAGAAATCATAGAGTGGTTTTAACTAACAGCAACATTTGATTTGGGTGAATTAAAGAAATATTACATTAGCTATACATACATTTTAAAACAACAGGCATCCCAATTTTGGAAATGTTAACATAGGAGAAATAAAATAAAAACAAAAACAAAAAACAATCAAATAAGTACTGGTTAAACAGACGAAGTACAATGTGTAAAATAACAAGAATGCCCCAGAAAAAAAGAGACTGCACCAGATCTCTTCAACTTTCATCTCAGGATCCATTCACACCATGAAAATTACTGAGGACCCCAAAAGCTTTTGTTTATGTGGGGTATAGCTAAGAACAATTACCATATTAGAAGTAAAAATGAAAATTTTTTTAATATTTATTAATTCATGTTTAAGTTAATAATAAAACCATTACTGTTAACATAAAGAACAGAATTATATGAAAATTCCATTTTGAAAAACAGAAAAGTTAGGGGGAGTTTTACACATTGCTTAATCGAAGACATCTGGGTTCTCATCACTGATTCTGCATTCAATCTGTTGCAATATGGCAAAGTATTTTTAAAAACTTCACAAATATTTAGCTGGAAGAATAAACATCATTTTTTAAAATTCTTTATTGTTTAAAGTATTACATATAGTATTACATATGTCTCCTTTTTCTCCTAGTGACCTCTCCCCGGCCCCCCCTCCCCTGTACATGCCCTTACTCCCCTAGTTTCTGTGTCCATTGGTTATGCTTATATGCATGCGCAAGACCTTTGGAAGAAATAACCAGCATTTTAATAATTCTTCTAGGTAATTATGAGTATTCTTTTTTGATACCACACCAAACTTAAATTTCCCAAAGAGTAGCTGCAATAGGAATGTAAACTTATCATTCTTTGTTACATTAAAATCTATTTGTCTGTTATACTTTGAATGGATCATAAACCCATGAAAAAATTATAATATTTATTATTTGGAATATATTAGTAATTGGGTTATGCCAATTTTCCAAATGGTGATATATTTCTTCCTATCAGAAAATTACATGTGTGAACTACATCACTACCAATTTAATCAGAAAAGTCACTAAGCATTGGGAAGTTGTCATGCTCACAGCAGGATATAAGTTTTCCAAAATGTAATTTTCACTAGAAAGCTTACTGGTTATTTGTGACAACAAATGCTGTCAGTTGTTAGCCTTGTAATGACAGGCTCACTTCATTCGTTTTCTAGATCTTCCAGACACTAAAGGCTAAATAACCATAGTTTTTTTGTCCTTCTTTCAAATATAAATAGCTACTTTAATTACAATTCAGGCCATCACATAAAAGTTTTTCTGAAGACAACCACTAATCTTTAAAAGAAACTGTGTGCATGCTGGGTGAAGACATATGATGCCACTGCTTTGATATGTCCTAAGGGCCTGCATTTTACCCATCAGTGCCGAGGAATCATTGATGCAGATGACAACCCAGCAAACACAAAATGTATCTTAGTAAGTTTATGAAAAAAAAATTTTTGCCCTCACTATCTCCTTGACATGGTCTTTGTGACTCGAAAGGACCCACAGACTACATATGAAGAACCACTTGGCTAGACTTGCAACCCTTGCAATTTGGCTCACCTCTCCAAGCCTCAGTCTCTTAAACTATAAAAACAGAGGCTGGACTGTTGGGGTCAGATCTTTTTTATGCTAAAATATGTGTGATTTCATGTAAGTTTATACTAGTACACACCTACATCAGTGATCCCTTGTAACAATTTATGAAAAATGTTCTTAAAAAATAATAATAAAAGCATTTCAAAGCCTTTTCAGCAACCCTTATCAGGTGCCTCAAAACAGGTTAAAGTATTACAAGCAACACCAGAGCTATAGGTAGTGGTGCAGATGCAGCCACAAATGGCATGAGGCCTTGTACCAAGTTGAGTCAAATTTTATAGGGAAAAAATATACTATAAACATTGGACCTTAATC